CATTTTCATTTTCTTAATTTGGTTCGAGGGGGACAATGATGCATGAGAAATTGACAATTGATCACTCGGGATGCTATTGCATTCTCTTACAGTCTCTTTGATTATACAGTTGGATGTCGCATCAAATTAGAAAAAAAAAAAAAGAAAAGAAAAAGGGAATGAATTAATCTAATATAAGTACACAAATATCTCTGAAACACAACTTCCACGATCGTTCCGCAGCCAAAAAAGGACGACATTTCTCACAGTGAAGGAAACAAGGACACGCTGAAGGAGCATACGTGCATGCAGTTGGTAGGGTGGCGGCTAAAACTGTTGGAACAACTGGCCGGATTAGCTGGAATCGATCTATCTCGTGACAACTTTAATTTCCTGGCCAATTAATAAGTTTTCGTTTTTGGTTTGGTTGAAATTTTATTAAGAAGAAACTATTATAGAAGGTTTATTTTTATAAAAAACTAAAAATAAAAATTAAATAAAAATAATATGTTAATTTTATTAAAATTTAAATGAAAAGTTTCTGTAAAAATATTAATTTGTAATAAAATGGATAAAAAACTAATTTATGAAAAATTATAATATTTTTCATAAATTATAGTGTTTGAAGTAATTAAAATTTTTAAAATTCAAAAAAGTTTCTATTAATTGTACCAAACATAGCGTAAGTCAAGTTTCACAACTGGTATACCCCCATCCACTGGTTCAAGAAGAGGGTGTTTAATACTCAAATTAGAGAGAGTAACTTGGGGCTCGTTTAATAACGTCATTGAAAAAGAACATACGGATCTTAGGGCGTAGTTTAGTTTGGAAAGTGCAATTGATGCGCGTAGCTGGCAAAATATCCTAAACAGAAACAGAGATGATACAGGAATACAGAGTAATTTGTTCTTTAAGAGGGTTAGTAATTATTCATTTACTACTTTGCTATATTACTACCATCATCAGGCACCGGCGGAGACAGGAGACGTGAGGGGTTACAGCCCCCTAAACTTTTAAAAAATAAAAATTTTGATCCCTTAAGTTATATTTTTATTATTTTAATTCTTATTTATTCTATACATTTTAATTATTTTTAACCCTTATTTTCTCAAAGATTAATTTTAGTGATTACAAGAAAAATGAGAAAAATAAAGATAAAATAAAATATGATAAAAAATAGAGATTAATTGAATATAAAATTATTTAATATTATCCTTTTATAAAGCAGTTATTTATTAATACTTTTTTTTGTTCATTAATACCTTTTTACTTTTTTTTTATGTATTAGTATTCTTCTATTTAATATATGTTTATTTTATATTTCAATTGAAATCATATATACAATACCATAATATCAATTAATATTAGTTTATTGATAAAGATTAATAAATCTTAATTTAACATAATTTTTTAATTAAATTTTTTTTTTCTTTTATGGTTTAATTAATGCAAAGATGCATGTCTTCCTTTTAAAAGATTCATTTAGCAACCCTTAAGAAAATTTTCTGGATACACGATTACTATCAGGCAAAAGATATCATGCCCTATCGATATTAAAGGTATAGATTATAGAATAATGTCCAAGACCCTCATGTAAGACTCAAATGATGTATATGTGGGATGCTACCTTAAACACGTTGCAATTATTGAGCTTTTCATTTTTTTTTTGGGCCTAACATGAAATTTATAAGTTAGAGGGTCTTCATTTTAGAGGAAGACCATTTCTGCATAGGACTATTGGAGTTGAGGTCAGGTGGCCTATGTGATGGAGTAAGATATGCAGCCGGGCTGGGTATGGGAAGGGAATGAGCCTGTAAGAAATATGGACACATTTCTGACAGCAGACCAGGCCCGTCTTGAGTCTTAACACCGACGGCCTTTAATTTTTCACCTCCACTGGATATATTTAATTCTGCCCAATAACGATTGCCCTGTTGGCCCTGCCCCATCCGCACAGGTCTAATCCAAGATGAAGATCGACATTCCACGTGCATATGGTAAAAATGAAAATTCGATAAACCAAATATGAAAATGGCAGAACTCCATCAACCGGCCAAATGGCCGTGCGACTTCATTTGAGGTAAACGTGTTGTTCATTTGATTTGAAAATCAAATTTTTAGTTGTTAATATTTAATAATATTAATTTATTGATCATTATCTTTATCAATAAAAAAAAAATGGCAGCCTTCATGTTTCATTGCTTATAATTATAATATAATATTAGTAGAGTTTTAAGTTTATAATTATAATATAATATTAAATAATTATTATATAATATTAAATAAATATATAAAAATATTAAATAAAAATTAAATTTATAATATTATATAATAATATTATATATTATTATAATTATATTATTTTTTATATATCAAGTGAAAATAATTTGGTTTTTTTAATTAATATTTAAAGTTAAAATCTTATGAATAGAGAAATAAATATTAAAAAAAATTTAATTAAATTTAACGTAATTTGATTTTAAATTAATCAAATTTAATATAATTACCGAATATCAACAAATTAATGTAAAAAAAATTTTTATTAAAAAATCAAAGGAGTATGATTTCTGTTTGTGTTACGTACAAGAGATTCTACGCCACTCTATACACGTGGCGGAACCACAACTTTCTTCTACGGTACATGCTTCACTGTCCTTATTCACATCATCCACAAGAACACTTGTGGCTAAAAAAGACACGTGATTTTTGGAACTAAAGACCGTCTCGCCCCGACTTCGCCCACCTCTACTTGAATCGGACGAAACGCTCCCCGAACTTCCACCCCACGAAACACATCCGACAGGTAATTCCCGAGATCTTCAGGGGTAAATAGGACAATCGACTCGTTCCAAGTTTGCCTCCTCAGCCGCGCTCCGCCGTGTTTCTCATAAAACTCCTTGTAAACCGGGGCGATCCGTCTCTCAACCGAGACTTTAATTCGGTCACGGAGTTCTGGATCGGGTATGATCCAAGAAGATTGTTTATTGTACGTTTCCTCAAAAGCTGTATTGAATCTCCGAAAGTGGTCTTTGACCTGATCGAGCGGAATCTTCGCCGATGGATCCTCTGGTAGTGACTCAAGCACCTTGCTCCACCCCATCCGCTCGCAATTCCCTGCATGCCGCTGAATTATTACTTCGTGCTTCGCTATCCAATCTTCCCCGAGAAGAAACCTCAGATTCGACTCCCGCACCTTTCCGACAACGTATTGGAGATTGTTGGCCAAGAACAAGTATGAAAGGGCGACGTCCTTGTACAGCTCCGCCTTACCGTCGAGTTTGCACAGAGTGACAAGTATAAGCCAAGCTAACCGCATGGACAACGGCGAGGTAATGGCCTCGTCGGCGTTGAGGCTGCCGAAATAAGACGCCGGTAGTGGAGATGAAACCGTCAGAGGCCAGTCAACGACGATGTCGGGGAGGATTTCGCTGTAATCCGTTAGTAAAGTGAGGTAATTCATGACGTAACGAGTGAGAGGGTGGACCCCACCACCTGCGACTGGTGATTTGGAGGTCTCTTTTTGGATTACCGTCTCGAATTCTTTTAGCACCGTCCGGACTGCCTCACCGAGCTTAATGAGGGCGTTAACGGCCGTTTGGCGGACGGAGGAGGTTGATACGGAGGTGAAGATGTACTCAATCTCGGGCCAAAGATCTGAAATCGCCTCGTAAAGGTCCAGAATGCGGAAAATTTTCTCAGGCGTTTTCTTGCATTTTGCTACGTTTTCTGCGAATGCAAACAGAGACAGAGCACCTTCTCTAGAAATTTCCGAGAAGCAAGATTCTCTCATCCCCGAAGTAGAGAACACCTGGTCGCAGAGAATTCTCTCACCGTAGAACAGTGTTTTCACGGCAACCTTCACCGCCTTTAACCAGATCTTGATCCGAACCTCTAAAACCTCCCAATCCATCTTTTGAAGCTGAAATAGAGTGAATCTCTCAACTCCTAGATGAAACAGAGCCTCGTCAATTATCGATTTCCGAATAGTTTTGTAGATCTTCGCGCACTCCTTGGCGTAACCGGCGGAAATCATACAATCGGCAATCACTCTCAAATCCGCCATGGCAGCCATCGAAGCTCTCTCCACTTCCAAAATTGAGTCGTTCTCGTGCCTCAAGTCGCACTCAGACTCGTCTTCGAAATCCGACATGCTCGATCTCGACATGGAAGCGCTGCGGGAATGGCTGGAGATCGACTCCGGGTCCAGGTGATCCCTGTTGGACTTCAGTATCTTGTAAAACTCCCTCCCCAGCCGTTTCATGGCGGTTTGCATCAAGTTAAGAGCCGCGACGAGGTTCTCGGATGCGGGATCCTGCGAGGCTAAGTACTGCATAGCTTGCTGGAGGTACTTAACAGAATTGAGATACTGTTTGGCTTCGTGGCGGTTCTCCGGGGAGAAGAGTGAGGCGAGGTTGCAGGAGGAAGAAGAATCCGAATTAGAGTCCCATTTAGTAATTATAGATTGAGCCATCTCGATGTTCTCGTCCATTAACGACTCTGAAAATGTGATTCGGAGCGGCGACGGTGGTGGAGGGGTCCTCGACGGCGACCATGACTTGAAAAAGACGGTCCTCATCCCTTTCATCGGCATAGTTTCAAACTAATTGGATTTTGGTGATGAATTGTTGTCCAGAAACAGAGCAAGAAACGTAGGGACAGATCGGAGATAATTAGTGATTTTGGAGAAGGTGAGGATGGAATTGAGAGTGGGAAAAAGAGGAAGGGTTATATAAATTAGGGACAGGAGGTAGGACCGCGGAGTCGAGTGTTTCTTGGAGCCCACGCGGTGAGAAATTGCTTATGTTGGTTCCTGTTTTTGTTTGGTTCCATCTTCCTCTCTGGTGCTAGCTAGTTTGACGACAGACCTTACGTGATTGCTGGCGATAGCACTCGGTTTTAAGTTTTCGGTTTTTCAACCTGGCATAATTAATTAATCTACTATTTTACAGTTAATTTATATAAAATATATAAATATTACTGTAATTTTAGTTTAATTTAATTAATTAATTAAAATTATTTATGTGTAAGTAACCTTAAAATAAAAGCCAATTTTTATAGAAATAATTTTTTATATGCTTCCTTTTATGAGATTTAGTTTTCTTAATTTATTTTTTAAATAAAATTTGATTAAGTAATCTTATAAAAATACATAAATATTTTTCTTTTTTTAGAGGTTGATATTATTGTTTAAGCGTTGGAAGCATTACATATAGCACTAGGCAATGAAACATACCAGATACCTTCGTAAGGGGGATTAGGAGCAGGCAGTTTAGCAATCTTATGGGCTAACTCATTGGAAACTCTACAAACATGTTTGAAATTGCAGGAAAG